TGCTGCTTGACCGAGATTCCATCGAGGAGCTATCCAAAGGGCGTTCAGCCCGTTACAGTCCTTATGCTCTAATGCCCACTTAAGACGAGCACTCCTTATCTCCTATGTTAACCTAGGCTTCCTCGTTAGCTTGGTCTTCTTATATCCTACTACTCTTAACACCCTCTAGACAGTAGAGGCAGAGATTTCAACTCCTTAGAGACTAAGCCCACTAGTAAGGTTAGCACAGCTCTTCTCTCGTCTATATTTATCGTGTCGTACTTATTGCAATATCTGCTCCTTCACCTCTGCCTGCTTAGCAGGCCTACTAGGCTTTAGAGCATCCTAAACGTGGTGTAGAAAGATCTTAATAAGAAGGTCGTTTAGCTTAAAGCCTATAGCAATAGCTCTACTATAGATATAATCTATAGTACAAAGATAAACGCTAGTTAGCGTAAATGTTACACGGGGTTGGGCTATACTTCTCTGATCTCGGTCCGGTTTAGGGCGAGTAGACTTAAGCGGTAGTCCGTGAGATTGTTTCGCATATGTCGTGTGGAAAAGAGTTAACTATAGGATTTAACCAAAAGGTAAACAATCAATTCTATACTAGGATAGAATAACAAGTATCAATCTGTGTAAGAGATGAACTATTCTGAGTTGACCACAACGAGTGTAATAATGAAATCCAACACATTCTTATACCCATTGCTTCAGGTCCTGCCATCCTGTCCATTCCATCTCGGCGGGATGGTTGGGATGGTGCTGGCATCCTGTCATGCGCTGCCATCCCGGATGGCCAGCCTTGGCGGGATGGTACGTCACGTGATCCGTACGCCCCGCGTTGATCATTTCCCTGGCGTCCTTTGACGCCTTTGTTTCCCCTAGGTTGACTCCGCAACCTTTCACTGAAACCTGTTGAGAGGAACCCTTCCTGTTTGTTCGTAACAGTAAAGACTTATAAGGTATTCTTGCTAATAGGAGGTAATTTTAACGCAATTACTAAGGTACAGGTATATATATTAGTATAAGGAGCTATAGTTAAAGGATAACTACATAGTAGTAGGCAGACTAATTAAACAGCCCCTTAACTCTAAGGTAGGAGTTGCGCCAAGAAGAGTTGTGCCGAAGCGCCGAGATTAGCGTCAGACAATACTTTAGAAAGGCACCTCCGTAGAGGACGTCAGCTTATTGCGTCGTGGCCCTGCACAACCTTTGCGGACTTTCTTCCATCTTTGCCCAGCATATTGTGTGTAAATTCATATGCAGCGCATAGCGCACAAAACACCGGTGGACGTGTTTGTATACCGAATGACGAAGGTTTCATGCAGCCCAACACCCTCATTGAGCCTCAAGGCTGTAGCTGGTTCCCTGATCCCCGCCAGATCCCGAGAAGTCACGTGATGACACACTGTTCTGGCTTTCCTCTACACCGACGTCACGCTCAGGTCTTGCGCCGCCCGGCTAGCGCTCTCGCGCAAACTTACAACCTACATACAAGATACAGCGTACCCAATGCCGAGGAAGAATGCGGGCATGTGAAATCATCATTCAAGCTTACCGCAAGAGTCGGAACAGGGATGACGTTTACTTACGGAACGGGCGGGTCAGCGTCCCCTTTACTTTCATAGCTTACAGACGTCTTCGACGTCGTCTCAGAGCCTACATAAGATTCAAATTGTGGTATCTACACCTACACTCTACAATCGCCATGTCCGCGGAATGGAAATGGATTAAGCACCGCCTACGGTATGATTCGTGGTTGCAAATGCGCCACAATAGCTGAACAACAACATGGCTGTTGAGATTTCGTACGATCAACATATACCCGGCCGACCGTGACCCGATATGTGCATGTCTCCGTGCACAACTCGGATGAAGTAAGCATAAACCTTGTTCGTGTTTTGGAGCATGGGTATTGGCTGTGTTAATAAATAAAAACACATATATAATAGCCATGGCGATCCGGCAGTCCATTGTCACTGCAAATTCTCTGCCCATCATGGTGGCCCTCAGTGTAGCTCTTACGACTCTCTTTGCTCTCTCGATATCTGCCTCCCCATGTGTTCCTAATGTGTGTCCGGAGAAGGTTGGCGCCGAGGGTGTGCAGGTTCGCCTGCCACCTGAGTTCAACGTGACTAGTCCGCAACAAGACAACTGCCCTTGGCGTCCGCTACCTGTGGGATTCTTCTTCAAGCCGTGGTACATTATTGTTGCCACAAATCCCCAGTATGTCACGATGAGGAACATACAATATGATCCAACTCCTGTCGATCCTTCGGATATCACCGGCCAAGTCAATGATCTCTTTTCCTTCCAGATTCCCGGCAATGAGACCGTCTACACCACCTACGGCGTTGATACGCCACGTCCAGGTTTTGTAGACCTGCTTGATTTCAGGGGAACTGGCATCATTGCCAATGCTACCAGTGAATTCAGCATATTGTTCTGGGGGTGCGATGCCGACTATATGCCATATTATGGCAGCTATTCGACCGCGACAGCACAGACCAAGACTCCACCGGGACTCGATGTGCTGAGCACAAATTACAAGGGCCCGGACCAGGGAACGCTTGATGCAATTTTGAAAGGACTGAAAGACTTGGGTAGTGAGGAGATCACAGGCTTGGTGAACAAACTGAACACCCTCAAGCATGATACCGCAAAGAGGAATTTGCCCAACGTAAGTCTTTCACATGAATCGAAACCGACACTTGCTGATGTGATGGTGTAGGCTACGTGCGATGATTACTGCAAGACGAACCTGAACTTGGTTAGCATTCTAAGTGCAGCCTCAGGTTCAGGTTCAGGTTCTGGTTCAAGTTCAGGATGAGGAATGATGGGAATATGAAATGATGGGAGGGCATAATGGGATATGAGAGGGAGAGAGATGATTTGGATACGATAGTACTCATGCTGTCTATGATTAATGAGCCTGGCTCCTCGTAATAAATGCATGTGTCGGGACAAAGTGACATTGTCAAATTGGGTGCGTACGAGTGAAGAATTGCTGGAGCGGCCGGCAATTGCGCTCCTCCGCGGTGGGGCTTGCCAAGCCAGCTGCGGGTGCTAGCGTCAAAAAAGTTGAGAAGTTCCCGACAGACAGCAGCGCACAACTCCAACGAAACAACTTCCACAAACAAATTTCGAATCGTGAATTTTACAAAGACCCTCCCGCAATGGTAAAGCGAAAGCTAAACGAGCACGATGTGCCAGAAGAAACATCAGGCGACGAGTCGCACTCCCACCCCAGCAGCTCGCCCGAACGTGCGCTACCTGCGACGACCGCGACCGAGACCGCGACAGCGAACACTACACCAAAGAGCAAGAAGAACTCGGATAATGCCAAGGCAAAGAATCAAATAACCGTGGCATCATTTGCTGAACTCCAGCTTGAGCCTCGCCTGTTGAGGGCAATTCGCGATCTGAAATGGGCATCGCCCACAGCAGTGCAATCGCAGGCCATACCGCTAGCGCTCGAGGGTCGTGATATTCTTGCTAGGTCAGGCACAGGCACAGGAAAGACGGGCGCATATCTGCTCCCCATCCTACATAAGACTCTGCAACGGAAGCAGACTTCTCTCATTCTGGCGCCCACAAGAGAGTTGTGTCAGCAGATCGCAAACGTCGCCAAGTCCCTCTCACAACACTGCGGCCAAGAAATCAGAGTGCGCAACATTGCAGGCAAGGAGTCAGATGCTGTCACAAAAGCTGCTCTTGCCGACAAGCCAGAGGTCGTTGTAGCCACGCCAGCAAGGGCATGGACAAATATCAACAACTCCACATTGGCGGTCAATGACCTCGGAACATTGGTGGTGGACGAGGGTGACTTGATAAATGGCTATGGATTCGCTGAAGATATGGAGAACATCGCTCGTGAGATACCAGTTGGAGTCCAGAAGATTGTTCTCTCAGCCACTCTCTCGACAGACGTGGAGGCTCTAGGTAGTCTGCTGTGCACCGACCCTGTTGTTCTCAAGCTGGCAGATCTCGACAAAGACTCGCAAAAGGTAAGGGATATCTCTGCATGGAGCGTAATCACACACACTGACACATCATAGGTCAAGCAATATGTTCTGAAGATCGCCGAAGACGAAAAATTCCTTCTGATCTACGCCATGTTCAAGTTGCAACTGATCAAAGGCAAGACGATTGTATTCGTTGGCGACGTCGACAGGTCATACCGCGTTAAGCTCTTCCTTGAACAATTCGGAATCAAGAGTTGCGTACTGAATTCAGAGCTCCCACTTGCATCGCGCACACATATTGTGGAGGAGTTCAACAAAAACGTGTACAATATTCTAATTGCGAGCGATGAACACGATGTCGTTGGAGTCCAGGAAGACGACTCAAAGCCCAAGAAGAAGAAGGCCAAGAGGAATAACGACAGCAAAGATTCAGGTGTTTCTCGAGGCATTGACTTCCTGAATGTCGCCTGCGTCCTCAACTTTGACTTCCCTGCCTCGTACAAATCTTACTTCCACCGCATAGGAAGGACAGCACGTGCAGGAAAGTCTGGAACCGCCATCTCCTTCATCATTCCCAGCGACAAATTCAGGAAACACAAGCCCACGACTTTTCTCGGATCTGAGCATGATGAAGACGTCCTGAAGAAGGTGGAGAAACACCAACAAGAAGGCCAAAAGCTGGAGAACTACAACTTTGACATGAAGCGCCTGGAGCCATTCCGATACCGATTTGCAGATGCCTTGAAGTCGGTAACAAGGATTGCTATTCGGGAAGCCCGTATCAAGGAGATTCACTCAGAACTCGCAAAGTCACAAAAGCTTTCGAGATACGTAAGTCGTTCCTCCTTTCCAGCATGTTCCTTGGACTGAACTGACATGGCCACAGTTTGAAGAGAACCCTGAAGCGCTCGCGCATCTCCGCCACGACCAGACACTCAATCACCCAGCTAGGATACAACCGCATCTTAAGCACATCCCAGACTATCTCTTGCCTGGTGGAAAGAAGCCTGAGGACATTGGGTTTGTCGGCATCAATCTCCCCAAGCCGGACAGGAAGAAATACATCAAGGGCAGGGGGAGGAAGGTAGTAAAGAGGAACGGAAAGGTAGATCCGTTGAAGACATTTAACGCACGAGGAAAAGGAAAGAAATAGAGCTTGTCTGTGTTGTTCTTGAATGACTGGTTTGGACCGTCGGCAGAAAAATAGCTCAAGCCGCGACTTATTCGTGAATGCGATACATGCTGCGAGTCATGATATCTGTCTTCTTTTGTCGGTTGCGCTTTCTTGTATCAATAATAGGGAAAATGCAGCATAACGCTGAAACTGAGTTGCTGACGATATGCAATGTCAAAATGAGAAATATCTACTAGGCTTTATTGGTAATAGCAAAAGTGCATACATTTATTGCATCATGGTCTGGTTTGAAAGTGTGCACCTGTGATATGTCATCCATCGCCACCACTTTTACATGCGGAGTAATATTCGTGATGCGTCGGAGGTGTACGTAAATTCATTAATGGATTGCTGAGACTCCGTCACATTATTGAGAAGCTAGTTTTTCTTTTCGTGCGCATGTGAAAGGGGGTGATGAGAAATAAGCGATCCTGATAGCTGGGAAGAATGAGGCGAGCCTCGAGAGGAGGACACACATGTACATGACTGGCTTGGAATGAGAAAACGGGGGTCTGGCGCATTAGGTAACCGAGTCGGTCAAAAGGACTGCGGGTCACGGGATCTATTTGAGAGTTGATATGCAGCTTTCTGCTCGCTCCTTGCAGGAATAAAAATAGTGTATAGCTTTGTTTCTGCACCGTGAGCCTAGAGTTTTAGAGATTGAATTTTTACAAGTAAGAATCACATATATGTAGTGGGATCTGCGACGTGAGGGAAAAGAGCACAACCTAGGATGTTTGTACAAGGGAAAGCGAATCGATAAAGACACCAACTCGGCATGTTTGGGAACAGTTCTGAACTGGTATCTTGCTACTAGTAAGTGATTGAACAGCCCCATGTCTAAATTCCTAGCTTTGAAATGGTCCTTCAAAATGCCGAAAGCAATTCATGAAAGAACAAAGCAGCGTACCATTCAAGCCATGATGTCAATGATCCAAAATAACTAGCACTCACCTGATCAGGTTTAAAGGCGTAAAAGCGCGAACTCCCTTACCAACGCGCCCCTATTACCCCATTACTCACTTTAGCGCAGCTGTGCGACCCCAACCCGCGTCGCCGGGTATTACTTTCCAGACGCCAGGTTACACAGGAGTATCAGCAGGACCGCCCTTCGGTTGTAAGCGCTGAGCTACTGGCAAATGGCAGGACAGCTTGGTACCCGAGGACAAGGCAAATGCGTCTCCACCGGCCCGATAGAAGATCTCGGGGATTTAGCGACTGATGTAATCGTTTGTGGTTGCTATCAACCGGTGGCTGACCGTGGGGGTGTTGGTGTTGCTTCGATTGGCGGGGTTTGGGAACGGCACTCGGGGGAAAGGGCATCGATGGGTCTCACCTGGAGACGGAGCTCCAGCAATGACATGCTGTGCCGTCTCCTCGGGGGAATAAAAGCTAAAGCGCCTCGTCGTACCAGGCTGTGTGAGCCATGTAGCCCTAAGAGTGGAGTCGAGCGGGCCGCAAGTCGGGTCAACCCCACCTTAATTAGCTTGACCCACGCCAAATAGCTCCTAGTGCCCGCCCACAACCGGATCCATACTGATTTCTGCCTGCGCTAGACACAATGCCGTGTTATTTCGTAAGACTGAGTGGCAGGAAGAAGTTGCTGATAAGGTCCGTCAAGCTATGCGGATTCCCAAGGACGCCCATTTTCGTGCGCGGGGCGTATCAGTCTTGTGCCATGTGCACAGTCGCATTATCTGCCGTTGCTCTGCGAACATGCGTCTATTGGGCATCGGGAATGTGTTTACTGCCTCGCCGTCATATGCAATTGTCAGCTGAGACATGAGTCTGGGAGACAGACTTGTCATTGGGTTTTCATGGTAGAGTCGGAAAGTGGGAAAGCGGATAACCCGTCTCAAGTAGGATCGGAGGTGTCGTTCCGCGCTCCAAGGCATAGTTGGTATTATGCCAACCATTTGGGCTGGATTGCATGGTTGCTATAATTTGGTCCTCTGGGCGTAACGCTTTCAGTGCGGCCTGAACGCCCCGTATGAGTGCGGCTAGAGTGCAGTGAAAGTAGCCTATAGATGGGATTGGGCTGCCATGTGGGACGGCACATAGCCGCCAATCCGGGTCGACAAAGTCTCAGGTAGACATTGTTTTGATTGGTGTGATATCCGTGTGCGTGTTACCGCGGATCTGATGTTGCTGTAGTGATCAGGAAATAACATGGATGGCCATATACTTTGATGTTGTGTACGCGCCTGCCAATGATCATCCTTGTGAAAAAGATGGACTCTCAAATAACCTTCAAACTTAGAAGACATGGCGCTGCTTTAGGGAATGACGTGGCCCTCGTCCAGCGTTGCTCTTCTCAAAACTAAATTCGGGGCTCAGCACAACACGCGGCCCTTACGTACTGTGGCCGTTGACTTTCGCCTAATGCCTCGTCGTTCATGTGCAGTGAGCGCAGTATCGGCACGACGGACGATGACAACTGCGTATTGCTGCTATCTTTGCGAGTATGCGCTGGTCAGACTGCAAAGCCCTGGTTGGAGGACATGGTGTCGCCTGGCAGCCACCAAAAGCAGTGCATGTGAAGACGTGATAGATTGTCATTGGAGTGCAACAAAGGCGTCTCAGCCGAAGGATCAGCCCAGGCAAATTAGGCGAACTTGCTGTAAGTGTGATGCAGCTGGGCGTCAAGTGACACATTCTCAGGTCTGCCTGAGCAATAGGAACCTTGGGATGCCATTAGCTACGTCGTTATTAGGCCTTCTATGTGGGATGTGCCGGTTGTCGCGCGGCCGTCGGACCGCCTTTGGCATTATGGGCCGGAATACCCTGTGGTTACTGGGTGCACACGACTTCGCTGCGGGGTACGTGATTAGCAACATGTCACTTGTATGGCCCGGCGATGCGGAACTTACTCTTTGCCGCCTAAACTCGTTTGTGCACACGGAACGGAGGCCAGTTCAGGATGGTGGAATGTGAGGAAAGGGGGTTGGTTGGTCGTGGTAGGGTTCGTGCCGTTCCCGCCTTGCCCCACTTGCCCCACCACTCCACTATCCCAGCCACGTGTTTCCGCCACTTGTGGCTTTGGCGGACAGCGCAACTCTCTAACAAAGACATGTGCAAGGAGGCAGTGGAATGTGATGGTGGAATTTAGAACAAAGACACTTGGAACACGCTCAGAGGCTGGACTCTCCTGGATGACTCTACTGCCTTCACAGGAGTAGCAAACCTTCCTATGCTGTGTCACCCCCTTTTGATTGACAGGCAAACGCATCTGCCTTGTCGATGCCTTGTACCTCTCTAATGGATCGATGAAGCTGCAGCACGATTGCTTGATGCCTGTACTGACTGGCGGTTCACTTTATGACATGCACTTGATCACGCGAGTCGAGGCTAACCGAAACGTGATTTGTTGAGTTCGATAGATACAATTTGAGCGGGCATTACATGAGAGGAGTCATAGGAGATTGTTGGCCAGACATGTTCCGAGGGATACAGGAGGCTGATCAATGATAGTATACTGCGAGTTGTGGCCGTGACGTATATTGGAGAAAGACAAAAAAACGAGCAAGCATATTTGTCTTAGGAGATGATATAGGAAACTCTTCCTGGACCGCGCGGAAAAGGTTGGTGGCAGTAGCGTCGGCAAATGGCTACGTAGTTCAAGCACTGATTACAGGGTTGTGCATGTTCCAGTAATCTAAGAGATTAGTAATATCGTCGGGATGTACTTTACCGACATCCTTGACTTTGACGTTGTGCTGGATGGGGTGATGTATCCCAAAGAAGATTCGTGATGCTGTAACCAGTGGAGGAACATTTGGCGTCATGGTGATGCCTAGATTGGTCCGTGAAGTTAGTGCCTGATTGCACAAGAACCTGTATCTGAATGACTTGCAAATAGGCTCCTTCTCAAGCTTAGTTTCCCCTTCTAACAGCGAAGGCAGATAGCCTTCAGAGTAGGCAATCGCATGTGCAATGGGATCTAAGCCCGGTTTCTTTGTTCCGTTGCCATTGTACGTGAAGATGGGACTGATGTGCGTTAGCCATTGTGTGAAATTGCATGGGTTCATGGATCTTACATAGCATAGCAGAAACCTTGCCTTGGACTGATTACAATAAAGCGCCGGATCTGGCTGTGCACAACTTCACCAAACTTCACAACTGAGAAAGAGTCGTTGTATGGGGTTGCTGTCGATCCAGCAGCTTCACTGAAGAGAACCGAGAAGACCTATCGAATTGTGAGCAGGAGCTGCGTGGCACACGCTCGGGAGCTACTGTACCTTGCCAGTCCTGAAGAAGCTACCATCTCTGACGCAGTAAGCTTTGCAGGGTTAGTCTCAACCAATTGCAGGGGAATTGGATACATGCATGGATCCAACCGCTCCACACGGCCGTTTGACGTTGGCATGTGTGGATTGTAGGTGCCTACTATCGTTGGCCCTTCTACAGCCCGGTGAACAGCCGGCCTTTCTCTGATGTCGTGCGGCGAATCAGCACGGCGGACCGGAAGCCAGTCGAGGAAGACCCATTGTCCTGCACACATATGGCCAAGGGTGTTAGTCCCCGCAACAACAGAAACATGTACCAGATGGGTGGCTACAAACCGTTTACATATTTTGTCCGATAGAAACGCCCTTGCTGTGGGTCCCACTGCGTGCATAGATACGTGTTGTGCTCTGGACTCCACTCAGATTGGGGTTGCGACATGTTTTCGGTGGCATCGACTGATGTCGGTTGTGCGCTGCCTGTGTCAGGTTGCGCAACCCCTATATAAGCACAGAGAATACAGCCAGCTGCCTAGAAGCGTACGAGCAGAGCCGCATCCTGGATGGGTGGGCGAAGTGCGGAGTCCATGGGCCCATACAGTCATGCTCCCCATGCGGCATGATTCTCTGCATGCGAGGCTTGATATGCATATTGGTGGGTAGACGTTTGGAAGAGGTGGCGTGCGCGTGGGGAAGCCGAAGGGTGGGCCGCACCGCTGCTTAGCTTACACTTATCTTTGGTGGCTTGGCCGGGTTCTTAATCACCCTGCGCCTGAGTCCTCTGTGTCTCCGTATCCTTGCTCACCCTGACCTGTCCCGACACCTGCATCATGGGTTGCATCCCGGCTGCATTAAGGGGGCGCTCGCTAGGCCCGGCTAAGACTGGCTCGCCTTGCTGCTTTGAGGCTCCTTCTCCCAACCATTATCCCTAAGTAAATCTGGTCCCCACAGCTGTTTTGGATGAGTTTAGCAACGCCCTGCCGCTTCCGATGGCTTCACCGCAACCAAAGACCCGGGCAAAGAAAATCGCGGTTGTTTTTCTCAGGACCAGCAGAAGCATTGGTGTGCAGGGAAAGCAAGCATACATTGATGTACTTAGAGCACTGACTCGAGCGCAGGGAAACGATTGCACAATGGGTTTTCACAAGTGCGGATCGGTACCCACAGCAAGCTGTCAAGCTCCGCAAGTGCTAGTAGTTACACTCAGCGAGCCACATCGGCTTCCCCAACAGCTCGACTTCATCCAGAAAACTACCATCTCTCCAATATGACCGCAAATGACTGGCAATACGAATCATACGTGCAACCTGCACAAGTCGAACTCTACGATGACGACCCGCTGCCTCCACCGCCACCTTTACATACAATCCCACAAGGGCCACCACCTCCGATGCCACCAGAGCAGCTTCATGGTTCCCCTGTAGGGAAGCAGACATATAACTTCGCCGAAATTCGGAGGCAAATCGACGAACTGGCGAAATCTAGGGAGGATTTGAGGGGATATCGATTTCGGATGCAGCGGGAGAGAAAGGAGATCAGCAACATCCGCGAGCAGACCGGCTCCAAGGAAGGTTCAGCATTGAACCAGTTGCGGAATCTCTTGCACAGGCAATCGATTGCTGTACCGCGAGAAATAGAAGAGATATTGGAGCAGATTGAAGCACTGAGAGACCAGCTGGGCGCACTTGAAGCTGAATATGAAGATGACGAGAGAATGTATACTCGCAGAGAGATTGAATACAGCGAGCAGGAGTATGACATGGTCGAAAGACTAGGAGATGTTCACTCGCACTACTCTCCACAGTCTGATTTTCAACAAAATCCAGCAAACGGGGGTATCTCGAGGAAATCTCTTGCAGCTGTTACAGACAGTCGGCAGCTTACCCCTCAATACGAAGACACTGATATTGCTCCATCAAAAAAGGCTCTTCAGCTAGTGCTGCAAGCAAATCTGAACTACGATGTTCAAGACCAGTATGTTCTAAGTTTGTTTATCACCTGTTGGAAACAGTACGACTGACGCTACCATCTAGAATCCAGAACCAGGAGATTGATGACACGTATACGGCAGAGATAGAGTTGTATGCAAACAGAGACGACGTCGAGAACTGGCTGTGTGATATGATTTTTCAATCTCCTTTACAGCAGATAGAACGACAAAATGCGAGACAGACTAATGAGCCAGGCCCGGTTTCTCTGTTGGACCAAATTCCTCACGACTGGTATTGGATTGATAGCTTTGGGGCGCAATTCCACAGTACAGACCTGAATCGTTCCCATGTGACAGGTAAACAACAATACTTTACGATATCACGTCCCGGATTCCTCTCACACAGATCTTCTGCATCTGTGCCACGCGCCATCCTTCCTAAGGGACCAGGTCTATATGCGAAAAGGTCTTTGTACCAACAACCTCTTGTTCAAATCATGTCACTTCGGGGATCCAAATCTACAGGCGATGTATCTCTCATGAGAGATCAGGACGCCTTTAGTACAGTTGAAATTCAACATCCTCAGTCGTGCGAAATGAGTAGGATGTACCGAAGGAGGAGCTTGAGTTGTTCTTCTATAGCATTAGAGCAATCGCCAGCTCTTGGGCGACCGAAGAATTTCCATGAAAACCAACGTAAACCGGTACCCCATTAAAAACATGGCTTATGCACCAACTTGTAAGTCACTCTCCAGTGTAGAAGTACAGCGTTGACGACTTGTTACGGTAGATACACTCTCTTCCACGCAGCTTGCAAAGACCAAGGATTTGGCCCAAATCAACCTACTTCAACCCCCTAATTGCGAACCCGGTCCTACAACACGAAGAAAATGCCTTCTTGCACCTTCCAAATTGATGCTATTCAGCGGCTGGATCGTTGTCATCGAAGACTTACGCGGCATGCCAGTTTGAGCGATCCTGGAATACACGAGCTACGCACATCTTGGTTATTCGCTTACCCTTCGTGACGGGAGACTGTACACCCTGTTTTTCGGTATTCTAGCGTTTATTGCTACTAACGTATGTGGCAAGCGAGCGCCGCAGGCAAGCGAGCGCCGCACCCCACCAAACCTGCGCACCTCTATAAGCCTGTAGTTCCACCACAATGTAGTTGTTTTACTACATATTAACATAATAGATTAAGCAGTACCTAGAGTATCTTTCTTGCACGTACGCGAGTTATGGCCAGTCTCTCTGCACCTACTACAGCGCGCCAAAGCCTGGCGGCTAACACCTGATCGCTCTCCTCTCTGACGCTCTTCATGAGCAAT